TGTAGCCAGTGAGCACTCCTTGTGATTTCCACCAGAGGCAAATTATTTAACACTAAAGCACATTTCTAATGATACTCATTCAAAGTAATAGGGATAACTAGATTTATAACAAAACACACTTCTACTTTATGTATCTTTGAAAGATCTAGAAATAAAGTTTTTTATATGATTTATTAAAAATAAATTAGCGGGCTGGCAAGCTACCTCAGTGGTCTAAAGCACCTGCTTAGGCAAGTGCCCAAGGACCATGGTTCAATCCCCGGCACCACATGCTGCGCCAGCCCCACCCCCAGGGTGGGCCAAGCCCGCCATAAATAAATAAATAAATGGGCCAACCAGATAGCAGACTGAAGTGCCTGTTTAGGCAGAGCACAGTGGCTGGGGTTCAATCCCTGGCATGTCATGCTGACCCACCTCGTGGACACACTGAGCCTGCGATTGAGACTGGGTGTGGTGGCACACGTCTGTAATCTCAGCACTTGGGAGACTGAAAATAGGGGAATAACTGTGCATCCAATCTAAATAGTGAGACTTTGTAGACCCTGTGCCAAAATGCATTAAAAATAAATAAAAACAAATACAGATAAATTAGCATGTACATTACTAGAATTATGTAAATAGTTGTATATGTTCCTTTTCAAGTATGATTGCTGTTGAATTTCATTATCTTAGCTTAGTATCTCTTATTCATGTATATTTACTTTTGGTCTGTAGAAGTCCATTATCATCTGAAGGGATAGTTCATCTGCATCCAGAAACTAAGGTATGAAATCACATTTTCTGTGAATGCAATTTGATTCTGTAGAATTGAGGCGTTCCTTTAGACTTTTCTTAGAAAGTGTTGTGATGCATTAGGACCAGAATATAAACTCAAATACTCTGGCAAGTGTTAGTATGTTTCTCATAAAGTAAATTGAAGCTTTTTTTTTTTTTTTGGTCAGAACCGGGGATTGAACTCAGGCCCTTGCGCTTGCCAGGAAGTGCTTATTCCACTGAGCCATCTCCCCGGCCCCTAAATTGAAGCATTTTTGTCTCATAATTTTACTGAACAATTTGGAACATAGTGGAAAAATTCTTAGTGAAATAAGATTGTAACCTTATACTTTTCAATTTTCTCTCTACATTTGAGAGAGAAGACATGAAAGAAAAATATGCTCATATCCAAAAAAATAAAAATAAAAAAGAGTATTTAAAGGTTCATTCAGCCATTTAAATGTTTTCTTGTTTTTTTAAAAATTTTTATTTATTTGTGTGTGTGTGTGTGTGTGTG